ACTGTGTGTTTTAGCTGTCACAATTACAAATGTGTGTGCTGTCTGCTATGGTTCGACTTAGTTTGAGACTTGCTCGAAGAAACACTTTCTTTTTTATTTCTTCTATGCGTTCTACATCATTCATTTCTACCTCTTGGTAAACGTACTTCAAAAATAATATCTATGAAATACCTTATGCTCTTTCAATATTCTACTTTTACGAAGATCTGATCGCATTTTATGATTAACCAACATTTGAGTCTTTTTCTCTCTCAAAAGCTTACCTTCGACTCTTTGGTACGTCGTCAGTCTACTCATCTTGTTATAAATAAACCATAAATGGTGATGAGATAAAAAATTTTGTTCTCCGTCGTTTATTCTTCTGATTATCTCCGTGTAGTGATTGTATGTATGGGTACGTTCTTCTGTATTTAACTTTACTTTACACATCTTCAGATATTTTTACATTATAAAGTGTATTTTTGTTTTTTTATCATGATTATTGTATAGCATAACACTTCATATCTATCTGTTTGTACTTTTAATCAAAGTTGTATAATAACTTTAGAACAAGCAACAGTCATCATTATTTAATTATAAATAATTTTTGCAACTTGTGTGACTTAGAAGTAAGAGATGGAGCTTTTTCGACACAGTGCAACTGAACAAGTCAACAATTTTGATGAAATGTCTGATTTAACTTAAAGCTCCATAGACATATGTGGGGGAAAGGTGTTATATTTAGAACATATGAACATGCCGAGAAGGCACCTTGTAATATAAAATAACTTTCTGCTACATGAGATAAGCTGGCTGTGAATGATATGCACGCTATCGACTCAAAGTCAGATTTTCTGCACAAGTAATACTCAGGATGTTCTTTCGATCCAAAAAGACCTTTTCATTAACTCCCCTGTTTTATTTTGTCTCACCCTTGTCCCACAGGTTTGTCCAAAGTAGAACAGATAGTTTTGTACAAAGTAAGTAAGAAATAAATAATTCCACGACCATGAGACAGATAAAAATTCGCAAAAAATACAAATACCAGTAGATGCAGCTTAAGTCGAGTCAGTTAGAGTCGGCTATCGAATAAATGTAAGACGGTTGTTTCTTGATGCATGTATAGACATTGTAACTTTTCGATTGCGCTATTAACTTCATGTCCATTGTGCACACCATCCATCCAGCTATTTTTTAAATATGTGAACGAATACACATATGATATTCGCCATTCAAAAGTCGGGACAAAGCAATATCATATAAGACGAGAAAAATCTGGCAAGATTTCTAGAACTCCAAGTAGTGATTTAATAGGCGTGTTAGATGAGAAAGTTGGTCTAGGCAATCTTCGTAATGGTTCAATCAAAAAGAAATCTTTTTGGGACTTAAGGATTTTGAAGAGCGCTCTTTCTATTGGCTGAATCAGAACAATTTTTAAATGTTCACAAGTAGGGATTCCAGAAAGCAGTGGTTGTTTACATGGTATGTTCGATCAAATAATTTTTCTCGAGGAACCCATTCTCTTAAAATGAATTTCAAATACACTATTCGATGCAGAATTGAACGGAGTACATTTGGAAACAAAAACGGCCTTCCAGCGTCTATATTTTAATTTTAATTCAAGTTTCACATTTTAGAATTTGAACTTTTTTTTAATTTGAAATATTTTGGGTGAGAAAGGCGCTGGAATAGGTTTCAATACACCGTTCGAAAGAGCGTGAAAAATTGAACAAGATTGGATAGTTGGCGAACTTTGAAAAAGATTTTAAGGGAATTTTTAGGAGGTTTTTATTTGCCAGTGTCATATCGCCGGACAAAAAATAAAGTTGTTTTTGTGTTGCATAAGACAACAGAGAATGTGTTTTTAAAAAACTCATTTGTGTTTTCTATTTGGGAAAAATGAAAAACACGTTTTATGTTTTCTGAAGAACACGCTTTTTTTACTGTGCATTTGTGATATGCAACACTAATAGAACTTATCCGAAAAATGTCGTATGGTGGCGCGTCGAAAGGACCCAACAAATTAGACTCCTGCGGGGCAAACTATTTTGTTGCTCCGAGCCCGTAAGCCCAAGCCCGTAAAATTTTTCTTTAGCCCGAGCCCGTGAGCCCGACCCCATGAAAAAATTCATTTGTCCCAAGCCGGTTTTGTACCGCAAAAGAGAACCACGGGCTTTCTCGTACCGTTTACGCCGTTCTTTTAAAAAGAGCTGTCGCTATCGCACGGCACAACTGCAAAACAAAGTGATGCTTGAGTTCGGATAGAACATTTCATAACTAGGATTTTTTTGCTACTTCAACTAATTGATTAAAAAGTCATCAATTGTGTGTGGTAAATAATCAACTCCTTTGCTGATTCAGTGTACTTCAGTTGCACGTGATATTTACACAATGGAGTTGTCTATTCAGACTATGGATAGACTATGGAGTTGTCTATCAAGCCTAAAAAGATTGCTTTTTTTAACGATTTCAAAGTAGAATTAAAGAAGTATTTGTTTAATTCACAGAGTACGTATAAGAATACAGCAGTTCTAGTGAGTTAGGACATACAACGCCTTTATATTTTAATGTCGCACAGTTGAAACTGTTTTTGCATTTTTTTCTCAATCGACAAACTTTTGTGTTTTGATAGTTTAAGTTTTAGAATGATATAATGGGAATTTATATTCTCGCTTTCGTTCTCATTCATGGTTAAAGCTTAAATCAAACGGGCACTGGAAAAAGTTCTTTTGTCTTCTCGTTTCGGCGCATCTATCCTGTTCTCATCGATCCAGAGCTATTTTTTTCCTACAGAGGTATATGTATATTTTAAATATTCTTCGATATATATTGTGTTAAATAAGATATATTTTATAAAAGATATCCTTATGAATGTGTATGGTGTAGACATACATTTTCACTGACAAGAAAGAAGAGGCCACATGGAAGTATTTTACACTTCAGAAAAAAGCAAAGAATGTTATATACGTCTTTTATGCAGAAAGTCTATTTATTTCTCTATATGACTTATAGGACAGATGAGAAACAGTGTCTGTTATGTTTATCACGTACGGATTTGTTAGCTTTCTGTAGTTTATATCTGCTCTTTTTAACGATTTCAAAGTAGAATTAAAGAAGTATTTATTTAATTCACAGGGTACGTATAAGAATACAGCAGTTCTAGTGAGTTAGGACATACAACTCCTTTATATTTTAATGTCGCACAGTTGAAACTGTTTTTGCATTTTTTTCTCAATCGTTTTATAAAATAGCATGCCAGCATAGTGATTTCAGTATTTACTGGTTTACTGGAAATAAACGTATAAGGTTAAGACTAATTAATCTGGGCCCATGAATACTATCTATATGAATCTGTAACTCATTAGCATAGTGATTTTAGTAGTGAACGTGGAAGCATAGTGACCGCAGTATTGATGGTCTGAGGTTAATTAGTCTTAACCTCACACTTTTGTTTTCTGTAGAACAGTAATCAACATCTGACCATCATGTTGATTAGTATTAATATTCTTAAGCTTTCTCGAGATGTTGAATTTGAAAAGTTTTGAATATACAGTTTATGCTATTGTTATCTTACTTACCCTCGATGACGGTCGGCCATCTGTGTAACGCTATAACACCTGCACAATAACATAAACTGTATCTTCGAAAAGAAAATGAAAGAGAATGACGGTTACATAAACGGGTATAAATACGACTGTTTGCTCACTACTTTTCATTTTCGTTTACATTTCACCGACAAACTGTTCAAGTTATTTGCTTTTATTTAAATTTTTTCTTCATGGATGCTACGTTAGAATTTATGTTGAACGATTTCGGTAAGTTTGACTTTTAGTTGGGTTTTGAAAACTAGTAGTATGTCAGCACGTGCATTTCATACCTATAACTTGAAAAGGTCTATTTATATTTATATTGGTTAACGTTAGAGCAGACATACTGGTATATATAAATTGCCACATTCATTTCAAGAACACTATTGATCAGATTGTTTGTTTTGGAGAGGATTCCCGAAGTTATCAGGTTAACAATAAAGCATTTTTTTTAATTACTAATTATAATTTTTTTAATTACTAAATTACTAATAATAATTTTTTTAATTACTGTTGCATTAGAACTAAAAGTATGAGGTTGCTACTAATTACTAATACTAATGAATATGCCTTTTGAACGCATAGATTCATTCAAGTAGTACTAATGGTCCCAGGTTAACTAGTATTAACTTCATAGTCTTATTTCTAATATGACAGCTATACTAAAGTCGCCTTGATACCATTAGCAATCCTCTGCTAAATGGAAGAATCTGCTTAATACTGTTCCTGTAATTAATGTGGGAACCTATTTTTCCTAGCATCATATATCCTCTCAAGTTACTTACTGTAATTATCAATACCCCTTCTCATGTTAGAAATTGGTTACATAGTACTGATAGTCGCAGGTTAATTAATATCAGCTTCATACTCTTATTTCTAATTATTACTAATAAGTAATTACTCTAAATCACTCTGCTTCGATGCTAATTACCAAAATTAACCAACTTATAATCTTTGATTTTTTAAAATTTTCGTTCGTAGCTGACACATTTTGGTCACTTTCGTGTTCGCACTCAAAATTGAAAAAACTTTTCATGATTTCTACAATGTGTGAATTTGAAGACATTTAGAGTTTCTGAATTTGAAGACTTTTAGAATTTCCGCATTTCTGAATTCACAGCTATTTAGAATGGCTGAATTTCCGAATTTACCAATTTTTAGAATTTCCGAATTTGTGAATTTACACATCTTCAGACTTTCTGAATTTGAAGATTTTTACAATTTCTGAATTTTTACGAATTAACCGATTGTTAGCATTTCTGAATTTCTGAATTCACAGTATTTTAGAATGCTTGAATTTTTTCGAATTTACCGCTTTTTGGAATTTCTGAATTAATAGATTTTCAGAACGTCTGAATTTGGAGATTTTTAGAATGTCTGAATTTCCCGACTTTTAGTATTTCTGAATTTGTGAATTCACAGTTTTGGAGAATTTCTGACTTTTTTGCATTAACCGATTTTTGGAATTTCTGAATTTCAAAATTGATAGATTTTTAGGATGTCTGATTTTGAAGACTTCAGAATTTCTGAATTCACAGCTTTTCAGAATTTCTGAATTTACCGATTTTTGGAATTTCTGAATTTCTGATTTAATAGATTTTTGGAACGTCTGAACTTTCTTGAATGTACCGATTTTTGGAATTTCTGAATTCACAGCTTTTCAGAATTTCTGAATTTTTTCGAATTTACCGATTTTTCGAATTTCTCAATTTGCGAATTCACAGTTTTTCACCATTTCTGACTGTTTTTGAATTTACCGATTTTGGAATTTCTGAATTCATAGATTTTTATAATGTCTGATTTTGCAGATTTTTACAATTTCTGAATTTTCTCGAATTAACCAATTGTTACCATTTTTGAATTTCTGAATTCACAGCGTTTTAGAATGTCTGAATTTTTTCGAGCAAAACTCTCTAAGACTTTGAGCTCCGCCCTAGAAAACTTTCTTCAAAACCTTTTTTCTCGTATCCTGACGCATAGTTCATTTGTGGAGAACTTCAAGAACCATCCGAATGACTATTCAGTTTTGACCTAATGATTCAGCTCGATGGAAAACTTTCAAAAATACAGTGGCTCTATTTTTTCCAGTATTACAGTATGAACCTTATAGAGTACGACTCAGACATTCTGATACTCTTTTGACGAAACTTGTGCCCCAGGTTTTGCTATCAATATTATAGGGGATTTCGATGATATTTTGGTGCGCATGGATGATTGGGATGAAATGGAAGAATTTGAGAATTTTTGGATGGATGATATAGTAATGTTGTTTCGTATGTTTCACAGAAATATAACGTTTTCTCTCGTGGGTTGTATTTAAGCAGTTCTCTGTTTAGATGATGATGATGATGATGTGGTGTTTGTTGAAGAGCCTCGTGGTGAAGGGTGTGAGTTTAAGGAAGGTAGTAATCTAATCTCTCTCTGAAGTATTCAAGATCGCGTTTTCTCTATTATCTCTCTATTTAGATCGTGGTGATGATGATGTGGTGTTTGTTGAAGAGCGTCGTGGTAGTGGGAGCATGTGGTATGAAGGTGGTAAGATAGTTTCTTTCTTAAGTAAACCACCGCTAATTGAAAAGTTCCTCGCAGTTTTATTTTTGGTTTTCTTATACATCAATCGAAAGAGATTTTCGCGCTGATCGGGAATACCACCTTTTATGCTGTCGGTTTTCACGAGGAGAAATTGGAAATCATCATTTTCAATCATTCAATCAATCATTTTCTCCTTTGTATTTCGAAGCTTCGAAACGTTTTTTTCCGGATTTATCATTGAAAATTGAATTGGGAAATGTGTGTTGAAGTTTTTCGATATGTAATGTGATTGTAGAAAAATTCATTTACAAGCAGAGCTCGGAAGGAAAGGCGCCGCCGGAAGAAGGTACCTAATCTTTTGTGTTAAGAGATGTAGGCCTAATTGTTGCTCCACTCTATCGGCCTTGAGTTAAAGTACAAAAATATGGATCGCTTTTTTTGTAAAATTTGTTTCATGCCTGAGAAAGTACAATTTTTCTGATTCAGGAGCGAATTAATCGGAATTCTGCCACTAATTCTGTATTTTCTCCATTCGAACTCACTTTTTATGCGATAAAAATATTATTCGGAGATAGCGTCGAGAATCGAAGGAAAAAGGTGATATTCCTGATCAGCGTGAAATTCTGTATAGAATGATGTATAAAAAAGCCAAAAATAAAAATATGCTGAACTTTGGATTCAGCGACGTTTTATTCAACCTCGGGTTTCCTGTTTTATTTCTCTGTTTAGATGGTGGTGAGGATGGTCTATTATTTATGGTGGAATGTGTTTTAATGAATGTATAAACTTATTTTATCACCTTTTCGTTTTATTTTTTCGTTATATTTTTCGTTTTATTTTTTGTTGTTATATTTTTTTATCCTTGTTGCGCTGCTTGTTCGTATGCTTGTGTTCTGTTAAATAAAATCAATACTACGAATAACTTAGTTGCTAAAGGACGGGGAACGGTTTCTGCTAGAAAATGGCCCAATATGATTTTGAATCAAAATGATCGCAAATGCTTCCACTTTCACTTTTTCCGCTCATCACTCTCAAAAATTCCTTCTGCTGTCTTTCAAACAAAAATTACTTTTCATTTTTCGCCACCAGTTCAACCAAAGCCATTTACATTTTTCCCCAACTTTATCGTCCGATTTCAAAGTCCTTGAGCAGAGCTCATACATAGTAACATGGAGAATTTTCTAGGCTTCAAAATAAGCTACAGACGAGGTTATCAAAAATATGCCCACATGTGTCAATAGTCGAAATAGTAGGCAGATATCATCGTTTTAACCTATTGATTGATTGAGTTTTATTTTGGTAACAACAAAACACAGAACATAAACATACAATAAAAACAGAAATCTTTAATTTTCAACAAAAACCGGTTACCGGAAAAGCAAAAAAAGTGTGATGCACCTATAAACCTTGCTACCATTTTCATAGTTGGAGATATTGCCTTGAACAAACCATCTGAGTGCTTTAAAGAAATATTCTTGAACTCATCCACTCAGAACCGGAATATTTTATATACAGAAAGAGAGAATTTTCTGGGATTCAAAATAAACTATAAATATGTATTTGAAAAGATGCTCATATACCACAATTGTCGAAATACTTGGCCGACATCATCATTTTTGCCTTAGTGCTTTAAACACTCCTTTAGTCATTTTTCTGGCATAATGAAAAATTATATATTTTTCAAAAACATACCATTGCATAGCCCTTGAAATTCTCTACAAAGTGAGCTGGTCAGAATATCCAGGTAGGTGGGACCAGTCATTAAAGATATATACAAGAAGCGTTTAGGTGTTCTCTATGCAGTACAGTGTTTCGAAATCGCAAGAACTCCTTTGTTTTTTATTTTTCGGTAAAGGCTGGAACTAATCGGAATACTGTTTTGAATAGCCCGAAGATTTTCCTATCAAATGAGGTGTATATCGCCGTTTCCTGAGAAAAGCTGATAATAGGGGATATCGGACGATAAAACTGCGGAAAAATGTAAATCGCTTTTGTTGAACTGGTGGTGACTCACTGGTCACTATAAGTATGTACGTCCGTCACACTCATTGGTCACTATATGTATGTACGTCCGTCACATGCGGACGCCGACATTTATTTCATATGAATTACGTAAATTTATGGATAAAATTTATGGATACATAGGTTCAGCAGAATATAAGAAATCAAAATTGATGTTATAACTTGGTTTTTGAGTAAAAGAACCGAAAAAACTTTTAGAGTAAGCTCGATCTATAAAACAGCGGATATCAAAAGTCGGAACATCTCGATCTACAAAGTGAACGTAAAACTCTGTTTTCCATTTTTTCGCCCGGTAAGAAAGACATTTAACAAAGCATTTTTACTCAATTAGATGCAGCCGTCCTTGCTCTTTCTTATGAACACCTCACATTCTCAAAAAAACGTTTTCTCAAGTGCCCAGTTTTATTTTTATCTCGATCTACAAGTTGTCTGTAAAACAATTTTCGCCATAGACGAACATAAACAAAAAAACAGAACAACCGTGAAAGCATACAGTTTGATAGAGCATTAAATGCTCTACAAAACGTTGAGATATCGAGCTTAGATTTTCTGTGGTAGTGAAGCAAGCAAACAGCGATAAAACAAAAAAAAGAATTTCGAAATCCGTTTTCAGAAACCGGAGTAATTTTAAAAATACGACAAAAACTCCATTGTACAATAAAGTTGCACATGACTCATATCTATGTTGATATATAGATACATTATAGGAAGCATGTTTCTTCGTTTGAAGAAAAATGTTAGAAAAGGACAGATTGCTCCACGTGCTTATCCACGTGATATAGATGCGGGTGAATGATTGACCCTGATTGCATTATGTTCCCGAAGAGAAAACCGGGTAGAACATGATGAAATCGGCGTCTCAGTTATCATAAGAAACATCCCTTTTAAGTGACTCTTTTATATCAAAAGTTGTTACTACACAGGTTTTCTGCGAACAAGTGGAACAGATTTTCAAATTCGAACAATTAATCTGGATGATACACAGATGAAATTAGTTTTTTCGGATACCACTGGGCAAGAAAACTATCGATCGCTGCTTAATAAGTATTTTCGAGGATTTTTCATTCTTTTCTGCGACATATACGGACTTAATTAATCTGTGAAAGAGATGTATCTCAAAAGAAAACTTGTCCAAAAATCCGATAGTGTAACATTCTGACCAGCGAAAATGAGACCTACTTAGATAAGGGAACAGAGAGCTGAATTTGCTGTGTACACCTGAATTTACTACTTTTTTACTACTCTTTGTGGAGTGAGGAAGGGCCGAAGGATTCCTTGCGGAGTGAGTCGACGGGAGTCCCGATCAAAAATAAAATTTTTTGTGTATGGGACTCTCGAGGGACTTTTTGTGAAGTCCCGTAGGATTCCTTGAAAAAGAGGGGCTTTTTTGAGAAAAAGAACTCCCGAGGGGGGTCCGCGGGAATCCATCGGGCCTCCGGCGGGAGCTTTTTGCAAAACGGGACTCCTGCGAGATTTCTGCCGGGACTCTCGACCAGGAACATTCATCAAGAGGAAGACCGTAGGCTATGTGCGATCTCAAAATCTCTACTCACAGGAGTACCCGGATAACCTACCCGGGCAACGCCGGGTAAATTTTCTAGTATTAAATAACTTGAATAAAAATTTAAAAAAAAGTCTTTTCGGAACGGCGTGATATCATGAATTATCAATTATTATTTCAATTACCATCAGAAAAGGAAAAACGGGAAATTTCTTTTTCAACGGCTAAAATAAACTTTAGATATGATAGTATATTGAGCAATAAAGAAGACGACTTCAAGTGACATATTCGGCAATGCCGAAGGTTCACAAAAGTAGCTTGCTGAAGATGCCTTGTACGCGATGTCTGCAAATGATTATTGAATGTCTTATAACCTCGAACCTTTAGTCTATAGGCGACTAAAAAAATATGTTTCTATATACTGTCGACTAGGCTGTACAAAATGGCATAAAAATTTGTCAGAATCTGGTTTTAAACCTTGATCATTGAAGTGTCGCTTTACGTGTCCAAGCCATATGCATAACCTATTAAATGCAAGTTTTTGCTAACCTCGACGTTGTTTGACTAATTATTTTCACAATTAATCCCCATTATAAAGTTTGATAGAGACATGAATGCTCACTCTATGTTTCTAGAGACCTTAAGACACTGACTGCGTGGCGCAATGGTAACGCGTCTAACTCCAGATCAGAAGGTTGCGTGTTCAAATCACGTCAGGATCAAACATTTTTCTCTTTTTCTTTCGAAAAACGACATCTTCAAGGACGAACAGACGCTTCTTTGTAGCTTGTTTGCACGGATGTATCCGTAGAGAATGTACTTGACGATGGATACCCGAGTACTTGCATTTTTCTTAGGTATCCATGCGGGTAGCCCGTGACATGAATGTCAGAGGTACTTCAGCATTTTTCAAGTAAATATTACCTGAGGCACTTAATCACTTGCGCTGGGTTGGTGCCAAATATTTTTCCATTCACCATTCTATTTCGCGTTCAGTCATATAGAAAAGAAAACATACGTTCTCAAGAACGATGAGTGTTTTTACCTTCACACGATCAGTTAAGATGGCCTGCCGTTCAGGCCCCTCTAAGTAACATTTTACTCGCAAACACCTGCGACATCCATGTAACAAGGTACCTGCATAGGCACCCAAGAAAAATGCAAGTACTGGGGTACCTATCGTCAGGTACATTCTCACCAATGTGATTCGAAGACGCAACCTGCTGGTCCGGAGTCACTTAGTGTCTCTACAAATATCGAGTGAGCATTCATTTCTCTCCAAAACTTTGTATGATGGGAATTCATTTTTGAAAATAGGTGTTAGTCAGACAGCGTCCACGTTAACAGAAACTGCCAATAATGGGTTATGCATAGGCTCTTAACTACATGTTTAAAAAATTGACTTTCAATTGGCTAAACTTTTTGTCTTCTTCGATTGCTGATCTCGAGGAGGAGCTTGTGGGACTGATACCAGTGATGGTGCCATGGTCTTTAGCAATAAAAGATATTTTAAATTTGCGCTTTTTTCTCCACTGAGTTGCCAACGTGAAACCTCCGGAATCTTGTAACCCATGAACGATTTAGCGATACGCCATATTTATCTCAAATGGGTCCTTTAGATTTTTGAGGGATAAAAGCGGAGGGAAAAACGAAAACGATTCGTGCAGAATTTGAAGCAGTGACGAAAAATTAACTTTCTCTGCACTAAACCGCTGTGCTATTCTCAACCGCTGTACTATTCTCAACTTTTCAGATATGTTTTATTCATTATTGACGCATCTGTGATTACTCCCTATCTAATAACCACAAAAGTGCAACATTCCTTAAACACCAGCATTACTGTAGAGTTATTTAGCTAGAGACAGAGAGTCGCTGACTCCGTGGCGCAACGGTAGCGCGTCTGACTCCAGATCAGAAGGTTGCGTGTTCGAATCACGTCGGGGTCAACCACCTTTCTCTTTTTCTTTCGGCACTGTCATCTTCAACATCCAATAGAGAAAAATCCATAGACGGCTGTTTAGTTTGAGACAGATACAGTCTTGAGCACATGTATGTATGGGAACAAGTTAAGAACAGGCGTGTAGCTCACAGAATCTGTTTGTCAGCCGTTCATCGAAATAATCGTCAATAATTATGTCAGCTTTACAAATAATTATTCAGTTCCTAACGTTTAACGAATGACTATCACAAAATCCTAGCTCTTGGAATAATTCTTTGATCGATATAATAAAAGATTATTGTTTAAATCAATATATTGAACCA